ATAGTGTAACCTAGTGTGTGGTAGGAGGTGGAGATGGTCTGAAGTCACACTAAAGTATATAGTGTAACCTAGTGTGTGGTAGGAGGTGGAGATGGTCTGAAGTCACACTAAAGTATATAGTGTAACCTAGTGTGTGGTAGGAGGTGGAGATGGTCTGAAGTCACACTAAAGTATATAGTGTAACCTAGTGTGTGGTAGGAGGTGGAGATGGTCTGAAGTCACACTAAAGTATATAGTGTAACCTAGTGTGTGGTAGGAGGTGGAGATGGTCTGAAGTCACACTAAAGTATATAGTGTAACCTAGTGTGTGGTAGGAGGTGGAGATGGTCTAAAGTCACAGTAAAGTATATAGTGTAACCTAGTGTGTGGTAGGAGGTGGAGATGGTTTGAAGTCAAACTAAAGTATATAGTGTAACCTAGTGTGTGGTAGGTGGTGGAGATGGTCTGAAGTCACACTAAAGTATACAGTGTAACCTAGTGTGTGGTAGGAGGTGGAGATGGTCTGAAGTCACACTAAAGTATATAGTGTAACCTAGTGTGTGGTAGGAGGTGGAGATGGTCTGAAGTCACACTAAAGTATATAGTGTAACCTAGTGTGTGGTAGGAGGTGGAGATGGTCTGAAGTCACACTAAAGTATATAGTGTAACCTAGTGTGTGGTAGGAGGTGGAGATGGTCTGAAGTCACACTAAAGTATATAGTGTAACCTAGTGTGTGGTAGGAGGTGGAGATGGTCTGAAGTCACACTAAAGTATATAGTGTAACCTAGTGTGTGGTAGGAGGTGGAGATGGTCTGAAGTCACACTAAAGTATATAGTGTAACCTAGTGTGTGGTAGGAGGTGGAGATGGTCTGAAGTCACACTAAAGTATATAGTGTAACCTAGTGTGTGGTAGGAGGTGGAGATGGTCTGAAGTCACACTAAAGTATATAGTGTAACCTAGTGTGTGGTAGGAGGTGGAGATGGTCTGAAGTCACACTAAAGTATATAGTGTAACCTAGTGTGTGGTAGGAGGTGGAGATGGTCTGAAGTCACACTAAAGTATATAGTGTAACCTAGTGTGTGGTAGGAGGTGGAGATGGTCTGAAGTCACACTAAAGTATATAGTGTAACCTAGTGTGTGGTAGGAGGTGGAGATGGTCTGAAGTCACACTAAAGTATATAGTGTAACCTAGTGTGTGGTAGGAGGTGGAGATGGTCTGAAGTCACACTAAAGTATATAGTGTAACCTAGTGTGTGGTAGGAGGTGGAGATGGTCTGAAGTCACACTAAAGTATATAGTGTAACCTAGTGTGTGGTAGGAGGTGGAGATGGTCTGAAGTCACACTAAAGTATATAGTGTAACCTAGTGTGTGGTAGGAGGTGGAGATGGTCTGAAGTCACACTAAAGTATATAGTGTAACCTAGTGTGTGGTAGGAGGTGGAGATGGTCTGAAGTCACACTAAAGTATATAGTGTAACATAGTGTGTGGTAGGAGGTGGAGATGGTCTGATGTCAAACTAAAGTATATAGTGTAACCTAGTGTGTGGTAGGAGGTGGAGATGGTCTGAAGTCACAGTTAAGTATATAGTGTAATCTAGTGTGGTAGGAGGTGCAAATGGTCTGAAGTCACACTAAAGTATATAGTGTAACCTAGTGTGTGGTAGGAGGTGGAGATGGTCTGAAGTCACACTAAAGTATATAGTGTAACCTAGTGTGTGGTAGGAGGTGGAGATGGTCTGAAGTCACACTAAAGTATATAGTGTAACCTAGTGTGTGGTAGGAGGTGGAGATGGTCTGAAGTCACACTAAAGTATATAGTGTAACCTAGTGTGTGGTAGGAGGTGGAGATGGTCTGAAGTCACACTAAAGTATATAGTGTAACCTAGTGTGTGGTAGGAGGTGGAGATGGTCTGAAGTCACACTAAAGTATATAGTGTAACCTAGTGTGTGGTAGGAGGTGGAGATGGTCTGAAGTCACACTAAAGTATATAGTGTAACCTAGTGTGTGGTAGGAGGTGGAGATGGTCTGAAGTCACACTAAAGTATATAGTGTAACCTAGTGTGTGGTAGGAGGTGGAGATGGTCTGAAGTCACACTAAAGTATATAGTGTAACCTAGTGTGTGGTAGGAGGTGGAGATGGTCTGAAGTCACACTAAAGTATATAGTGTAACCTAGTGTGTGGTAGGAGGTGGAGATGGTCTGAAGTCACACTAAAGTATATAGTGTAACCTAGTGTGTGGTAGGAGGTGGAGATGGTCTGAAGTCACAGTAAAGTATATAGTGTAACCTAGTGTGTGGTAGGAGGTGGAAATTGTCTGAAGTCACACTAAAGTACACAGTGTAACCTAGTGTGCGGTAGGAGGTGGAAATGGTCTGAAGTCACACTAAAGTATACATGTAACCTAGTGTGTGGTAGGAGGTGGAGATTGTCTGAAGTCACACTAAAGTATATAGTGTAACCTAGTGTGTGGTAGGAGGTGGAAATTGTCTGAAGTCACACTAAAGTATATAGTGTAACCTAGTGTGTGGTAGGAGGTGGAGATGGTCTGAAGTCACACTAAAGTATATAGTGTAACCTAGTGTGTGGTAGGAGGTGGAGATGGTCTGAAGTCACACTAAAGTATATAGTGTAACCTAGTGTGTGGTAGGAGGTGGAGATGGTCTGAAGTCACACTAAAGTATATAGTGTAACCTAGTGTGTGGTAGGAGGTGGAGATGGTCTGAAGTCACACTAAAGTATATAGTGTAACCTAGTGTGTGGTAGGAGGTGGAGATGGTCTGAAGTCACACTAAAGTATATAGTGTAACCTAGTGTGTGGTAGGAGGTGGAGATGGTCTGAAGTCACACTAAAGTATATAGTGTAACCTAGTGTGTGGTAGGAGGTGGATATGGTTTGAAGTCACACTAAAGTATATAGTGTAACCTAGTGTGTGGTAGGAGGTGGAGATGGTCTGAAGTCACACTAAAGTATATAGTGTAACCTAGTGTGTGGTAGGAGGTGGAGATGGTCTGAAGTCACACTAAAGTATATAGTGTAACCTAGTGTGTGGTAGGAGGTGGAGATGGTCTGAAGTCACACTAAAGTATATAGTGTAACCTAGTGTGTGGTAGGAGGTGGAGATGGTCTGAAGTCACACTAAAGTATATAGTGTAACCTAGTGTGTGGTAGGAGGTGGAGATGGTCTGAAGTCACACTAAAGTATATAGTGTAACCTAGTGTGTGGTAGGAGGTGGAGATGGTCTGAAGTCACACTAAAGTATATAGTGTAACCTAGTGTGTGGTAGGAGGTGGAGATGGTCTGAAGTCACACTAAAGTATATAGTGTAACCTAGTGTGTGGTAGGAGGTGGAGATGGTCTGAAGTCACACTAAAGTATATAGTGTAACCTAGTGTGTGGTAGGAGGTGGAGATGGTCTGAAGTCACACTAAAGTATATAGTGTAACCTAGTGTGTGGTAGGAGGTGGAGATGGTCTGAAGTCACACTAAAGTATATAGTGTAACCTAGTGTGTGGTAGGAGGTGGAGATGGTCTGAAGTCACACTAAAGTATATAGTGTAACCTAGTGTGTGGTAGGAGGTGGAGATGGTCTGAAGTCACACTAAAGTATATAGTGTAACCTAGTGTGTGGTAGGAGGTGGAGATGGTCTGAAGTCACACTAAAGTATATAGTGTAACCTAGTGTGTGGTAGGAGGTGGAGATGGTCTGAAGTCACACTAAAGTATATAGTGTAACCTAGTGTGTGGTAGGAGGTGGAGATGGTCTGAAGTCACACTAAAGTATATAGTGTAACCTAGTGTGTGGTAGGAGGTGGAGATGGTCTGAAGTCACACTAAAGTATATAGTGTAACCTAGTGTGTGGTAGGAGGTGGAGATGGTCTGAAGTCACACTAAAGTATATAGTGTAACCTAGTGTGTGGTAGGAGGTGGAGATGGTCTGAAGTCACACTAAAGTATATAGTGTAACCTAGTGTGTGGTAGGAGGTGGAAATTGTCTGAAGTCACACTAAAGTATACAGTGTAACCTAGTGTGTGGTAGGAGGTGGAGATGGTCTGAAGTCACACTAAAGTATACAGTGTAACCTAGTGTGTGGTAGGAGGTGGAGATTGTCTGAAGTCACGAAGGTCAGTCTGCCAAACAGGTTGAATTGGTAGTGATTAACGTTTGTAGGAAGTCTTTTCATTTGTCTGCAACTATCACACGGGTTTAAATAATGACCCTAGTTGGGGGACGGCCCTCAACAAGTTAAAGCCCGGAAAAAGATAAAAAGATGACACTGTATACAATCTAGTGACAGAAAACAATCATGTTATGTAGTAGGAGTTCGTAGAAGCAATATGCCTTCTATATGGATCTATGTTTCTAGATACACTCAGATGTCAAAGGTATGTGGATCCTAGGACGAGGATTTTCAGGGTTAAAGCATGTGATAAACCTTGTATATCATACTGACGATCTCAAGGATACCATATAAAATATCTTATACTCAAGATCTCAACAGATATAAAATATATCATACTAACGACCTCAACAGGAACCCTATAAAATATTTTATACTCACGACCTCAACAGGTACCCTATAAAATATTTTATACTCAAGACCTCAACAGGTACCCTATAAAATATTTTATACTCACGACCTCAACAGGTACTCCACAAATATATTATACTCAAGACCTCAACAGGTACTCCATAAATATATCATACTAACGACCACAACAGGTACCCTATAAAATATTTTATACTCAAGACCTCAACAGGTACCCTATAAAATGTTTTATACTCACGACCTCAACAGGTACTTCATAAATATATTATACTCATGACCTCAACAGATTCCCTATAAAATATATTATACTCACGATCTCAACAGGTACTCCATTAAATTGAATCATACTCACGATCTCAACAGATACCCTATAAATTCATTTTACTCACGACCACAACAGGTACCCTATAAAATATATTATACTCACGATCTCAACAGGTACCCTATACAATTGTATTATGCTTACTCCGTATGCTTCATTCCTCGTGGCGATCTCTACAAGTATTACACCGAAGGCATATACATCTCCTTCATTGGATTGTTCGTTCATCACAGAGTTCGTGACGTCTTTGGAGGACAACTTGTCATGTTCAAACTCAGGTGCATAATAAACCCGGTACCGTGATGTTTTCATATTCATTTCTCCCTCGTGATCCTCGTCGTCAAACTCATTCAGACGGTATGTTGGCAAGCCATAATCTGTCAGAGAGAAATGCATGATATTAGATATTGTTCATCAATTATCAGATAATGGTATATAACATACAGCAATATAATTAGTTATTAAGTAGTGGTATATAATAGTGCAACAATATAATTAGTTATTAAGTAGTGGTATATAATAGTGCAACAATATAATTAGTTATCAGATCCAAGTAGTCATCTAGCAAGTTTGTTAACTCCAATCGAAGAAGGAAGCGAGTCCTTTCCAACTTTGGAATAGAAGTTCTATCATTATTACTAGTGTAAAAGACGCCATTTGAGAAGAGATTGCTGAGATTTGTTTGTTTGTTGAATTTATTGCGTCATGAACAGCCAAGGGCATTTCAGGTCTCCTTGTAGTAGTTCATGTCTACCTCACTGAACACCATACACGAGATCCGCTGCATGCCATCGAAACACTAAGAGTAAAATGCCTATAACCACGTCAGCAAAGACTGGTTCGTTTCTCAGCATTTTGATAAACACAAATTGCCAAGAGGAGGGGCATGGAACCAGGTACTACTAGTGTTTAAGTGAGGATAAGCAGGCCAATGCCTTCATCCGGGTAAGCTATCATCATGAGGAGTTGGTCAATACCGATGCCGTTTTCCTCAGATAAAACTTAAGTAATGATGTCAGTAAATAAATCTGATTTTGATCATTCAACAAGGTTCTATCTCACAAAAATACCTGAATTGACAGGTTTAATTATGATCTATATTCTTAATTCTGAGCTTAATCTTAATAGCACCTTGTTGCTTTAATGGGAAGATATAAAAGTCAAGGTAATTTATATAAACTTCATAATATTCACCTGTAATATTTCAGATAAAGATTGGTCATCAACCCACTTCTGGGATAAACTGATGGACCTAGCGTCATCTTAGGTAGGACAATTGAAAAAAAAGCAAATGTCACCAGGGGCCAGTGTTTTGTAGTAAGCTCTAACGCCACCTGTTGTCATTCGTCTCTGAAATATACCCTAGCGCCACCTAGTGTCACTGTTAAGAGAGCAGTCTTTACCTGTTATTTTTACTGTCCATCTGTCATCAATAACACAGTTGTGTGATTTCAATCGACCGTGGGACATGCTGTGGGTGTGGAGATAGGCCATCCCCCGGGATATGTCAGTAGCGAAGGATAGCCTGCAACATGTCAACGATGTTGTTACGAAGCGAGATACCTATAAACACAGATTCTCTGACAGGTCTGGAACCAATAGACAATAATGGTGGTACATAAAATCACTCAACAGTGTCAACATTAGAACAGATCATACTACTGGTACATGTATCAGAACAGAAATCTAAGCGTTTTGATTAGAAAAAGTAAACACAGGTCATATATCGTTTTTACTATATAAATTTAAAACAATTTTGCCATTGGAAAATGAAAATAAAATGTGTCTTACAGTCTGAATTGCTTTTCCATTTAACGAATTATACTGACGACAATGAATAATTTATTTTAGTTTTAATCAAAAGTCAAAAACCAGCATACGCCGAGTGTGCAATATCATGCTTGTCTAGAAAATGCTACCGTGTATTCCTGCCTCTCATGTTTGAGATCATACAATGGAGAATAACACCGGTGATTAATAATAAAGTTTAGATGAAGCACCACAAGAATATACCATTTAGAAGAGTATACAAAAAGATGGAAATATATCGTTGTATATTCATATCGTTTGTGTGATATGATATAAAGTTGATGAATATTGTTGTTGAAGCGTCATTTATCGGAAGAAATCAGGGCATAGTTTGAAGGATGAAAGTTAACTGAACGTATTCGACCAACTCTCATTTTTTCCTTTATGAAATCAGTCAATCAATCACAATACTTACGATAAATAAAGATTCATTAATGATACATCTATCGACGAATCACAATTCTAGTTATCAGATGTCTCCATAACTTACCGAAAAGACCAAGAAAGCGGTATGTCGTCATTAAGTAGGACGTCAATCAGACTGCCCTTTGGACAATATTCCATGAGGATACAGACATTCGGAACCTTTACACACCCACCGACAAATTTACACAGATTGACGTGGTCCATTGTTCTGAGGAAATACCAATATTTCCAACATTAAATAATTAATATTTCTGGGAAAATCGTACTTTATAGTGATAAGGTAACAAAAGAATTGAGTTTTTGTGAAATTCATTCGGATAATCTTTGGATGACTTAAATGGATTTTTCTGTATAAAACTGAGGGCCTTGTCACTCTAGGTATATATTAATGACAGTTCGTCAACACATCAGACGAGTCTGAAAACACATAATAATGACCTCACACTATACAACCTGGCCCATATTGGACGTGTTGCTACACGGACACGCGATAACATAATGTACCTACCTTACGACTCGCACCTCCTCTCTGATGCGCCTCGTCAACAAAAACTGAACTTTATTTATTTTTCGGATAGTAACCGTTTTACCGTCACTGCATAAACGTAAAACGACACATAAGTAAGATAATAGATTTAAATATGCTTATAACAACAAATACATATTTTTGTACAGGCAGAATACAGAGGTAAGTATCTTAAAATAACAGTTGTTATTAGGCGAGGATGAAGAAAGACAACTGGTGAGCCTTTGGCTCGAGCGAAACAGCCTTATCTTTTAAGACACTGATCATGTATTTTATTTAACCTTTGATATTAAGACTGTTGAAACTAAGTCTGTTGACAAACATGTTTATCTGCCGTTGATGTTATGTCAGGCCTCGCTTGCTAGAAGGTTAGTTCGTTGTAACCAGCTGTTAGTGAAAAATTCAAATTGTTGCCATTGAAAAAACAAAGAATTTTAAAAAAGCAACGCTTGTCACTCAAAAAAATGTATATTTGACCTTTCTCAACAAAGATTTGTAGCTGTGAAATATTAAAACATGCTTGCAATTTTGCTTTATTCACAATTATAAATTATCTCTAACCAGCATTTGAACAACTGGGGTCTGAAGTCCAAGTGATCGTTTTATTTGAGAATTTAGAGGTAAAGCGTCATGCTGACCACAAACGTACGACATATTTATCATTTGTTATTTTCAAGTTTCTAGTTCTAATGAGTTTAAAACAGCGACATAAGTGAGTTACCGATGGTAAATTAATATTCAGTTAAATATATAAATATATATATAACTTTTCTTTTGATCATGAAAATAACTATATGAAAAAATCCCAAATGCTTTGAAAAGAATATGTTTGCACAGACGAATTTAAGTATCAGCTGGACATGACCGATATCCTTATCATATGATACACCATTGATGTTTTACTGAAGGAATGTCCGGACGAAATGATTTTGAAAATGTATTTGACAAAGAATCGGGTTAAATACTCTCTGAATCTTGTAAATAACAATTCAAATCACTCACATGAGGCCAGTTGAAGCAAACAGTTGTTTATATGCGGTAAAAGAACCGGCTGTACTAATGGCGTCATCCATCCCCAGGTAGGCCATGGAACGCCTGCTAATGCAGCTCCCAAAAGCTTGTCGATTGTCTTGGTCTGGCAGGTGGTGTTTATAGGACAAAAGGAAAAGGCTTACGTTTACAAAGATGTTTTTGTATCCTGATTTGAAACTTTTACTTCCTGTATATAAAGTTTTAGTGTTCATTTTGATTATTTTTTTTTTACAATTTAATCATATTTTACTGACATATGATTTGGAAATAGGATTGGTTTGTTAGCTCTTGCCATCACATACGTAACATATTTACATTTAATGTCATGAAAAATAAACCATCATTCCATGCTTATCCTTATGTATTATGAGGTACGGAAGTTCTGATGCAAGGGACAGTTAATCAAGAAATGATAGGAATCTTTATAACGATGCCCACATCGACACTCTGCTCAATCCGTTTTGTTGACTATAAACAAGTCTTAATTTAGTTGGCTTGCTTGGGTTTTGTTTTAGATGATAGTTATCTTATTTCTTAGATACATAACAGAAAGAATGTTGTGATACGTGTAGATGTAAACGAAAGTGTTTGTTCTTTCAGCAAGTGAACTCGTTAATCATATAAAGCTAAATTTGCAACATAATCCGATAACAATTCATCAAGAAAAATTGATGCCATATTGGTAACAGAATGAAATAGAAAAAAATTTCCAAACATCTCTTCTGTTTGAGAGGGGTTACCCTTCACCCAAAGATGCTTTAGACCGAGTTTGGTCAAAATCCGTTGGAGAGTTTTAAATTGATAGATTTATAAAGTTTGAAGAACGCTCAGGTGAATTTAAAACTCACTAAAAAAAGATGGAAAATTTCTGCATTAACTCTTTAGATGTTTCAGCAGTTTGCTTTCTTTTATTGGAAACTTTTACTATAAATTACGGCTCACACAGGTTTTTTCAGTTAATTCCTGCACCAACAGTTGTCGCTTACACCAACAAGACAGGTGTTAAGAGAATGTACCTCTGATGGACTACTGTACACAGTTCGGGAATTGTCTTTGATGTTATCATATAAAATAATGAATAATTCATGACCTGTGGCATGCGCAAGTCCCTGATGTCATACCACTAATCGTTATGAAGCAGCAGCGTAGCCAGGTCGCAATTAATTAATTGTTTTCATTAACGTGGAATAGTTTTATTCATCTGCTCATTCTATCTGATGCATGCTTGGCACAAGGTAAAAGAAGGTGTTACTCTCGATTTGGTCTTCAAGAAGTATGTGGCTTCATCACACAACATATACCACGGTGTCGTTAAAACAGGTTATACTATAAACAGATACACAACTTAAAATAACGACACGATGAAGGGACATGAAACGGTCTCCAACTGTCAATATAATAGGATACAAAATCTACAGTTCTGTCAAGTGAGGATCAAATGCTTGCTGAAACATAATGGATTCGTTTTCATGTCTTTTCTTTCAGCATTACGCTTAATTAAAATAAAAAAAATGTTCATTTAAAAAACGGTACCAAGTGTATTGTGTACTGTGTACTTACTGTGTAATGTGTAATTACTGTGTACATTGTACTGTACACTTACTGTGTACTGTGTACTTACTGTGTTCTTACTGTGTACTGTGTATTGTGTAATGTGTAATGTGTAGTTACTGTGTACTATGTAGTTACTGTGTACTGTGTAGTTACTGTGTACGGTGTAGTTACTGTGTACTGTGTATTGTGTATTGTGTACTGTGTATTGTGTATTGTGTACTGTGTACTGTGTACTGTGTATTGTGTACTGTGTACTATGTAGTTACTGTGTACTGTGTACTTACTGTGTACTGTGTAGTTACTGTGCACTGTGTAGTTACTGTGTACTGTGTAGTTACTGTGTACTGTGTACTTACTGTGTACTATGTACTTACTGTGTACTGTGTATTGTGTACTGTGTACTGTGTATTGTGTTCTGTGTATTGTGTACTGTGTACTTACTGTGTACTATGTAGTTACTGTTTACTGTGTACTTACTGTGTACTATGTAGTTACTGTGTATTGTGTATTGTGTACTGTGTATTGTGTACTGTGTATTGTGTACTGTGTAGTTATTGTGTACTGTGTACTGTGTATTGTGTACTGTGTACTGTGTACTGTATACTGTGTATTGTGTACTGTGTATTGTGTACTGTGTACTTACTGTGTACTGTGTATTTACTGTGTACTGTGTAGGTACTGTGTACTGTGTAGTTGATGTGTACTGTATACTGTGTATTGTTTATTGTGTTCTGTGTACTGTGTACTGTGTAGTTACTGTGTATTGTGTACTGTGTACTGTGTATTGTGTACTGTGTACTGTTTACTGTGTATTCTGTACTATGTACTGTGTATTGTGTACTGTGTACTTACTTTGTACTGTGTACTGTGTAGTAACTGTGAACTGTGTAGTGTGTTCTGTGTACTGTGTACTGTTTATTGTGTACTGTATATTGTGTACTGTGTGTACTGTGTACTGTTTATTGTGTACGGTTTATTGTGTTCTGTGTATCGTGTAGTGTATATTGTGTACTGTGTACTGTGTAATGTGTTCTGTGAACTGTGTTCTGTGTACTGTGTACTGTGTAGTTGTTGTGTACTGTATACTGTGTATTGCGTACTGTGTATTGTGTATTGTGTAGTCACTGTGTACTGTTTAGTTATTGTGTACTGTGTACTGTGTAGTAACTGTGTACTGTGTTCTGTGTACTGTGTACTGTTTATTGTGTACTGTGTATTGTGTACTGTGTACTTACTGTGTACTGTGTAGTTACTCTGTACTGTGTAGTTACTGTGTATTGTGTACTGTGTATTGTGTATTGTGTAGTTACTGTGTACTGTGTAGTTATGGTGTACTGTGTAGTAACTGTGTACTGTGTACTGTGTTCTGTGTACTGTGTACTGTTTATTGTGTACTGTATATTGTGTACTGTGTGTACTGTGTACTGTGTTCTGTTTATTGTGTACGGTTTATTGTGTTCTGTGTATCGTGTAGTGTATATTGTGTACTGTGTACTGTGTAATGTGTTCTGTGAACTGTGTTCTGTGTTCTGTGTACTGTGTACTGTGTTCTGTGTACTGTGTACTGTTTATTGTGTATTGTATATTGTGTACTGTGTACTGTATATTGTGTACTGTATATTGTGTTCTGTGTACTGTGTACTGTGTTCTGTGTTCTGTGTACTGTATATTGTGTTCTGTGTACTGTGTACTGTTTATTGTGTATTGTGTTCTGTGTACTGTGTTCTGTGTTCTGTGTACTGTGTTCTGTGTATTGTGTATTTTGTTCTGCATACTGTGTAGTTACTGTATACTGTGTACTGTGTATTGTGTATTGTGTACTGTGCACTTTGTTGTGTATAATGTGTACTGTGTTCTATGTATTGTGTTCTGTGTATTGTGTTATGTGTACTGTGTTCTGTGTATTAGGTATGATGTGCTGTGTACTGTATACTGTGTATTACGTACTGTGTTCTGTGAATTGTGTATTATGTACTGTGTATTGTATTCTGTGTACTCTGTATTGTGTACTGTGTATTGTGTCCACTGTATACATTACCTTGCATTATTGAATCATACTGATAAATCCAACTTTCATCGAGAAGTAATTTCCTCTTCTGAAATTGTATTTTCTGTGAGAGAGAAACAGATCAATCGTAAATGATTGTAATCCTGGTATATATTGATTAAAAATATTCTTTTGTGTATCTTTTGACGATATGACAGATTAAAATAAAACCCAATGATTCCTAGAGAACATGTGTGTTGTAATGAACTCACAAGAAGGAGGCCCCCAAACATGGTGACGACCGCCAGTATCCCTAGCCCTATGACAGCCCACATCCAGGGCTCCAGAGGGCACGTTCCACAATCTGCTACACACGTAGAGCACGTTTCCTCTGGCTCGCACGTACCATCACCACACACTAAAAAACAATTTGTCAAAGTTTTTTTGTGTGTTTTGTTTATCTGTATTTCATTTGAAGTTATGGTTATTCTTTGTCAATAATATATATACAATAGTAAAAAATGTATAAAGCAAAATTTCCCATAAAGGTATACATACATTTATACTTTGATACAATCATCAACTGGTACTTGTCAAAAGCACAATGATCGCAAGATCGGGAAATAAAGCAAAAATATAACACCGAAAAGAGCGTGTCATTACCAGTGAACTAATTAAACTGAAAATACATATTAGGTTTCTACCTATTCATTAAACAACTGATTTAATCAAATATAACTGGACTTTAATTGAAATTAACAAAGTTGTACAGACCTGCTTTAGGAAGAACCTTGACCATCTTAATGAGCGCGATGCTGACGGCGGCGACTTTAAAGTGGGCGATTACCGAGGTCTGACCAGTAACATACAGACCCCCCACAGAGTTTGTCCAGTTCCCCTGTGAGGCTGATCCCACAAGGACCTGGGAGTGCGTAAAGACTTTTCCACTTGGTGGAATCCATGGTCCACACACGTCGAGATTCCCGTCCATGGGACAGCTATGGATATTCATGTGGTGAATACAGCAATTCTCTTGTGTTGCCAAGGACGCCAAGGGACATGTCGTTGTTTCACACCACTGCTGGGCCAGAACGGGGTCACTGGAGAAGGGATATTTACAAAAATAACCACAGGATACCAACATGTGAATGGCATGATGATATATACTTAAATTCAATACAACTGGAGGAGGACATGAACGAAACTCATAGACTCCAGAAGAGATACCCGTACCATTAGACCACGTATTTCGGAAGAGTAAGCGTTTTCTTCCTCATTGACGACCCCCATGCAAATCTTGGTCAATACAAGTAAGAAATATAACGTTCCCAAATGAGAACAATGTATACATCTTATATCACACAAGGTAACAGATGATGACCGTCAACTTTCGAAGTATGTATCTCTCGAAACCATGTGTTGTGCGTTTGTATGAAATCCATGATAATGGGAACAGGTAATTGAATATCGAATCATCTGCAACATGTAAATATTGCAGGTTAGGGACGGAGGTTTTTTGTTTTTGTTTTTGTTTTCTTCTATAAATATCACATATGTAGGGCGTGGGGGTAGGGAATTCTGCACCTGATGTGCTATGGATGTAGACACATTGTCACAAAGGTAGGCAGGATATCAAAGATGTCATCACCGGATATACAACACGCACGGTATCAAGGGTGTCATCACCGGATATACAACACGCACGGTATCAAGGGTGTCATCACCGGATATACAACACGCATGGTATCAAGGGTGTCTTTACCGGATATACAACACGCATTGTATCAAGGGTGTCATCACCGGATATACAACACGCACGGTATCAAGGGTGTCATCACCGGATATACAACACGCACGGTATCAAGGGTGTCTTTACCGGATATACAACACGCATTGTATCAAGGGTGTCATCACCGGACATACAACACGCATTGTATCAAGGGTGTCATCACCGGATATACAACACGCATGGTATCAAGGGTGTCTTTACCGGATATACAACACGCACGGTATCAAGGGTGTCATCACCGGATATACAACACGCACGGTATCAAGGGTGTCATCACCGGATATACAACACGCACGGTATCAAGGGTGTCTTCACCGGATATACAACACGCACGGTATCAAGGGTGTCATCACCGGATATACAACACGCACGGTATCAAGGGTATCATCACCAGATATACAACACGCACGGTATCAAGGGTGTCATCACCGGATATACAACACGCACGGTATCAAGGGTGTCTTTACCGGATATACAACACGCATTGTATCAAGGGTGTCATCACCGGACATACAACACGCATTGTATCAAGGGTGTCATCACCGGATATACAACACGCATGGTATCAAGGGTGTCATCACCGAATATACAACACGCATGGTATCAAGGGTGTTATCACCGGATATACAATACGCACGGTATCAAGGGTGTCAACACCGGATATACAACACGCACGGTATCAAGGGTGTCATCACCGGATATACAACACGCACGGTATCAATGGTGTCATCACCGGATATACAACACGCACGGTATCAAGGGTGTCATCACCGGATATACAACACGCACGGTATCAAGGGTGTTATCACCAGATATACAACACGCACGGTATCAAGGGTGTCATCACCGGATATACAACACGCATGGTATCAAGGGTGTCTTTACCGGATATACAACACGCATTGTATCAAGGGTGTCATCACCGGATATACAACACGCACGGTATCAAGGGTGTCATCACCGGATATACAACACGCACGGTATCAAGGGTGTCTTTACCGGATATACAACACGCATTGTATCAAGGGTGTCATCACCGGACATACAACACGCATTGTATCAAGGGTGTCATCACCGGATATACAACACGCATGGTATCAAGGGTGTCTTTACCGGATATACAACACGCACGGTATCAAGGGTGTCATCACCGGATATACAACATGCACGGTATCAAGGGTGTCATCACCGGATATACAACACGCACGGTATCAAGGGTGTCATCACCGGATATACAACACGCACGGTATCAAGGGTGTCATCACCGGATATACAACACGCACGGTATCAAGGGTGTCATCACCAGATATACAACACGCACGGTATCAAGGGTGTCATCACCGGATATACAACACGCACGGTATCAAGGGTGTCTTTACCGGATATACAACACGCATTGTATCAAGGGTGTCATCACCGGACATACAACACGCATTGTATCAAGGGTGTCATCACCGGATATACAACACGCATGGTATCAAGGGTGTCATCACCGAATATACAACACGCATGGTATCAAGGGTGTTATCACCGGATATACAATACGCACGGTATCAAGGGTGTCAACACCGGATATACAACACGCACGGTATCAAGGGTGTCATCACCGGATATACAACACGCACGGTATCAATGGTGTCATCACCGGATATACAACACGCACGGTATCAAGGGTGTCATCACCGGATATACAACACGCACGGTATCAAGGGTGTTATCACCAGATATACAACACGCACGGTATCAAGGGTGTCAACACCGGATATACAACACGCACGGTATCAAGGGTGTCATCACCGGATATACAACACGCACGGTATCAATGGTGTCATCACCGGATATACAACACGCACGGTATCAAGGGTGTCATCACCGGATATACAACACGCACGGTATCAAGGGTGTTATCACCAGATATACAACACGCACGGTATCAAGGGTGTCATCACCGGATATACAACACACATGATATCAAGGGTGTCTTTACCGGATATACAACACGCACGGTATCAAGGGTGTCATTACCGGATATACAACACGCATGATATCAAGGGTGTCTTTACCGGATATACAACACACATGATATCAAGGGTGTCTTTACCGGATATACAACACGCACGGTATCAAGGGTGTCATTACCGGATATACAACACGCATGATATCAAGGGTGTCTTTACCGGATATACAACACGCACGGTATCAAGGGTGTCTTTACCGGATATACAACACGCGTAATATTATTCATTTCTGGAACAGAATGGTCATATATTTGTCAAAATAGGTTTTACTACAAAAATTGATAAGATGGACACAGTAGAATTCAAGTTATGATGTAGAATAAAGAAACACTGACACTACAGAAATCATTGCGCCGTCATATATTCAACATTAAGTAAAGCACACACAAATCTGACACCGACATTAGAATGAACAACACTTCTTGTGAAATCGTAAACTAAGGTAAAACAATTGAGAACGTGGCCGTGTTCTTCTGGGCTCGCAAGATTACAATGTGGAAATATAAAAAGGACTGGGATAATTTTAATTTGACAACGATATGAATTCCATTTGTAACATTGTGTAAAGCACGCACTCGATGCCCTCACTTCCATTAGCGTTGCTGAAGAGATTAAGTCCGACAGCCCAGGAGTAGAAGCTAGCCTCGAGGATAAGCTTTGTTGTAGTGTTAAAATGTTCTTGTTCCTTCAGAGAGTCGGGCGGAGGATCTATCCAAGCCATGTCCACTCCTGGTAAAAATAAGAAAAAATAATAAATAAGATAAATGCATAGTTTACGACAGAAAATCCAAGAGGGTAGATGCTAAGATAGGTATATCCCGTCTATGCATCATTTCTATTGAGAGGTTAATCTTCCGGAACACCTGGTCTTATTCTCCTTGTCTTCATGACTCTTCGAGTAAATCTTCCTTTTGTTAACATTTTGCCCTAGTTTGATTGAATCTGAGTTTGGATTATGGTTATGTTGACACACTGGTATTTCCTTTTAGTTCCATGGTTGTCAAACCTTTCGAACAAACCCCAGACAAGAGTAACATCATTATATCAGAACTTATCGGATTGAAAACAAAACAGTAACTTCAAATCAAGAACGATGTAACCAGGGCAAAATAAGAAATACGTTCTCATGGAAATCGCTGTAGAAATATAGACCTCCTTATAAGGAATGGATATAATGTAAAGTTATACCGACTGAGCATTAACGATTAACATAAAAATTCTGATCAGACAAACGCTGTGATTGGCACCGATGGACATTTGATAACTTTATCGTGTTTTCAGAGTTGACAATAAGGTTCAAAATGTTATACTTTACATAGAAGGAAAGTGGCTCCATTAGCGGACAATATTGTTCCCTTGTTAAGTACATGTTCTCTAAACTGAGCCAATGGTGTGATGCAGTACATTGCTTGTATTCCATTATTCCAAACGACAGTATCCGCACTTTAATGTGGTCGTGTTAGTCTTAGTTTCAGGGATAGAACGTAAAAACAAGCAACAAACAAACAACAAACAAAATACCAGTTATAGCCTAGCCTTAGAACAGGCATGATAATTTCCAGTATTCACTTCAGAGGTAGTCTGGTATGATGATTTCATTTGGTTGACACACGCGGAGAATTTACCGTCTGATTTATATATATATATATATGTAGAGTTCAAATTGACCTGGACATGGGCCATCAGTCGGTAAATTTTCGACAACAACAACCGGAAGCGAGAAACGCCTGCACGCCGTGATCATGTAAATTAACGTGCTTGTAGATACATTTAGACCGAAGACTTTCCTGAACATTAGTTATTAGTGAACAGAAGACACACCTGGCCATCGATCGTGATCGTGTGAATTAGCGTCATTTGTAGATAGAGGGTAGACTAACCTAGACATCAACTTTAGAAATAGTGATATTAACAGATAGAGGGTAGAATTACCTTGACATCAACTTTAGTAATAGTGATATTAACAGATAGGGGGTAGATTTACCTGGACATCAACTTAAGAAATAGTGGTATTAACAGATAGAGGGTAAGCTAACCTTTTAGACATCAACTTTAGTAATAGTGATATTAACAGATAGGGGGTAGATTTACCTGGACATCAACTTAAGAAATAGTGGTATTAACAGATAGAGGGTAAGCTAACCTTTTAGACATCAACTTTAGAAATAATGATATCAACAGATAGAGGGTAGAATTACCCGGACATCAACTTTAGAAATAGTGATATTAACAGATAGAGGGTAGAATTACCTGGACATCAACTTTAGAAATAGTGATATTACAGATAGGGGGTAGACTTACCCGGACATTAACTTTAGAAATAGTGATATCAACAGATAGAGGGTAGACTTACCTATACATCAACTTTAGAAATAGTAATATTATCATATAGAGGGAATAATTACAAGGACATTAACTTTAGAAATAGTGATATTAACAGATAGGGGGTAGACTTGCCTAGACATCAACTTTAGAAATAGTGATATTAACAATTCGGGGGTAGACTTACCTATACATCAACTTTAGAAATAGTGATATAATCATATAGAGGGTATAATTACAAGGACATTAACTTTAGAAATAGTGATATTAACAGATAGGGGGTAGACTTGCCTAGACATCAACTTGAGAAATAGTGATATTAACAAATAGAGGGTAGAATTACCTGGACATCAACTTTTTTTGAAATAGTGATATTAACAGATAGAGGCAAGACTTAACTGGATGTCAACTTTAGAAATAGTGATATTAACACATAGAGTGTAGACTTACCTGGACATCAACTTTAGAAATAGTGATATTAACAGATATCCCGGACATCAACATTAGAAATAGTGATATTAACAGATATAGGCAAGACTTAACTGGATGTCAACTTTAGAAATAGTGATATTAACACATAGAGTGTAGACTTACCTGGACATCAACTTTAGAAATAGTGATATTAACAGATAGGGGGTAGACTTTCCCGGACATCAACATTAGAAATAGTGATATTAACAGATATAGGCAAGACTTAACTGGATGTCAACTTTAGAAATAGTGATATTAACACATAGAGTGTAGACTTACCTGGACATCAACTTTAGAAATAGTGATATTAACAGATAGGGGGTAGACTTTCCCGGACATCAACATTAGAAATAGTGATATTAACAGATAGAGGCAAGACTTAACTGGATGTCAACTTTAGAAATAGTGATATTAATATTAACATTAGAAATAGATATAGATATTAACAGATAGAGGCAAGACTTAACTGGATGTCAACTTTAGAAATAGTGATATTAACACATAGAGTGTAGACTTACCTGGACATCAATTTTAGAAATAGTGATATTAACAGATAGGGGGTAGACTTTCCCGGACATCAACATTAGAAATAGTGATATTAACAGATAGAGGCAAGACTTAACTGGATGTCAACTTTAGAAATAGTGATATTAACACATAGAGTGTAGACTTACCTGGACATCAATTTTAGAAATAGTGATATTAACAGATAGACTTAACTGGGGAAATAGACTTCCCTGGACATCAACTTTAGAAATAGTGATATTTAGAAATAGTGATATTAACATGTCAACTTTAGAAATAGTGATATTAACACATAGAGTGTAGACTTACCTGGACATTTAGAAATAGTGATATTAACAGATAGAGGCAAGACTTACCTGGACATCAACTTTAGAAATAGTGATATTAACAGATAGAGGCAAGACTTAACTGGATGTCAACTTTAGAAATAGTGATGTTAACAGATAGAGTGTAGACTTACCTGGACATCAACTTTAGAAATAGTGATATTAACAGATAGAGGCAAGACTTACCTGGACATCAACTTTAGAAATAGTGATTAGTGATATTAAAATAGTGATATTAACACATAGACTTACCTGGACATCAACTTTAGAAATAGTGATATTAACATGATAGAACTTTTAAGGAGGTAGACTTTACCTATAGAAATGGACATCAACTTTAGAAATAGTGTATATTGACAAAACAGATTAAACCAAAGGATATAACAAGACTTATCACTGATTATATTGTATGTATATATGGTATATATATAAGGTTAAACTTGCAAAGTAACATATAAGATATTGATATCTATTTATTTATAAAGTCATGCATAAAAACGTATCTTACCTGGACATCAACTCACATTAGAAATAGTGATTATTTGCAGTAAGTTCTAATGGGTTTGATGAAAACTTTCAAAAATACAATGAAAGCACAATAGTCCAAAAGATGTTATCTGGATTCAAGTTCTTACAAAGTATGCGCCACTTGGTATGAAGACTTAAACTAATGAACTGAGTCTTTGTCTCCAGTTCTTCACTTCGTTTTCAGTTTATCGAAAGTGTTAGGTAAGGGATTGTGTTAGGTATGTGATAGTGTTAGGTAAGGGATAGTGTTAGGTAAGGGATAGTGTTAGGTAAGTGATAGTGTTAAGTAACGTATTGTGTTAGGTAAGGGATAGTGTTAGTATGAGATAGTGTTAGGTATGTGATCGTGTTAGGTATGTGATAGTGTTAGGTATTTGATAGTTTTACGTAAGGGATAGTGTTAAGTAACGGATTGTGTTAGATAAGCGATAGTGTTAGGTAAGTGATAGTGCTAGGTAAGGGATAGTGCTAGATAAGGGATATTGTTAGGTAAGGGATAGTGTTAGGTATGAGATATGGTTAGGTAAGGGATAGTGCTAGGTATGATATATTGTTAGGTAAGGGATAATGTTTGGTAAGGGATAGTGTAAGGTAAAGGATGCTGTTAGGTAAGGGATAGTGTTAGGTATGGGATAGTGTTAGGTAAGTGATATTGTTCGGTATGAGATAGTGAAAGTTATATGATAGTGTTAAGTAACGGATGGTGATAGGTAAGGGATAGTGTTAGGTAAGGGATAGTACGTGATAGTGTTAGGTAAGGGATAGTCTTAGTATGAGATAGTGTTAGGTATGTGATAGTGTTAGGTAAGGGATAGTGTTAGGTATGGGATAGTGTTAGGTAAGGGATAGTGTTAGGTAAGTGATATTGTTCGGTATGAGATAGTGAAAGCTATGTGATAGTGTTAAGTAACGGATTGTGATAGGTAAGGGATAGTGTTAGTATGAGATAGTGTTAGGTATGACAGACAGACAGACAGACAGACAGACAGACTTTCTGTATCTCCTCTTTTCAGAGATTTACATAATCTTGTCTTTTTTACATCAAATAAATGAAATCACAACATTAAAGTAGAGTCTTCATTTCTGTTAACAGTAAAGGTATTAGGTTAGCCATTGTAACCATCATTGCAGCCCACTTGTCTCGCTCCAATTGTATATCGTGTGTACCACCGAGTAAAAATTGACATTGTCTTTTATCCGATAGGTGATCAAATTTGACGTAATCAAAAACATCTAGGAAATTGACAAGAAATTCTAGGATTTTTTCACGACTGTTGAACAAGGACGGACATTGAATAAGGAAATGAATAGTGATATCGTTTGTTTCTTTTTTACATAGTCTACACACCACTGTATTCCTTCCATACCGATACGACAGCTTTATTAGTTCTCCTAGCGCCCATGTGCAATCTGGAAGTTCAAGACTTAATATCCAGAGTGGATTAGGGCCTGGATTGGAGTGAATCGCACCATACGTTCCTGATAGAACTGAATAGTTCATTGCTTCCCGCCACTTTTTGAAATAAAATTCCTCCACTATCCTACAAGAATAAGTTTTCCAGAAACCCTCGAACAAGAAGTCAAACAGAATTTTTGATATATCGAATTTAGCCGCAGTTGCAAATATGTCGTGAATAAAACTTTCGGCTTTAAGAGTCATGCCACCAAAAGCAAATGCACACAGTCGAATTAAAAACAGAATTTTCCAGACGTATTTGTTGCTCGCAGAGCACAGCTTGTTCCAAAATAATAATTTTCTCACGTCGACTTCGCCGGATATGTCTAACAGACCAATGGCGCGTGTTGTCACTAGCTTTGGAGAT